CACCAACATTTTTTGAGTTTTTAAATTTTTATTTGCCCAGCTGCAAACTTGGAAATAACAGGAAGAGCAAGGCACCCTATTCCACAGTGTGATTTTAAAATGATTCATCAAAGCGCCACAGTTATACGCACAAAGACACATGTTAGCAGCAGACTTCATTATAACACACTGAAGTCGGCTTGCAAATGATGAAGTTTAAATCCTCTGGGTGGAGAATGTTGTGTATCTTGGCACAGCGATGGTGTTTGGTCCCCTTTACAACTTCTGAGAGAACACAGGGGCATGCACTTGCACACACTTGCACACACTTGCACACACACACACACACACACTCAGACTGGACTGTATCTCCCTGTATTAGGTTACCAGCTGATGCTTCCAAGGAACCAGATCTCCGGCACGTTCAGAAGTAGTGTTTCCCCCGGCAGTGTGTCACTGGGCCAAGCAGATGTGAAGACCACATGGCAGAGGGAGGGTGAAGTTGGAGAGGAACTTTGATGTTCTTTTCCTGGCACGAGTTGAAATGACGAGAATTTAAAGATTCTATTTGTTTTCTATTTGACGAGCTAAGGTGATGAGGATGAAGGAGATTTTATTATTTTTTCTCCATCAGGGAAGATGCACAGCTCTGTAAAATTTGTCATGAACCGCAAACAACATGCTGCATAACGTCTTTTCTCAGCAGGCTCTGCTTTTTTTGTTTGTTTGTTTTTTTTTTGTTTTTTTTTTACACACAAACAGAAGTTTAAGAAGAAGAACAAAGTTCAGAAAGTGCGTCATTCCCCAGAGACAATGGTTTGACACCCAGTCGAGTTCTTGTTAACCTGTGGTGTTTTTCCCCCCCTCTATATTCCCACAACCACAGTGTCCGTTAAGATGAATACCACATAACTGCTGGAGCGTGATTATGTGACTTGAGATGGTCTGCATCAAGGATTTCTCAGAATTGTTTCATTCTTTTTAAATTAAAAATCAGAGGTACAGTGAGTCATAGTTTGTCTTTCCCATTGGGCACGTCCATTAAATACTGGCCAAGCAGCCAAGCTGTAAATGTCAAAGGTGTTTCCTGAGAAACGGTGCTTTATGGTACTCGTTTTCAGCCAGCAGAGATGCCAGGGTTAGAAAGGAAGCAAAGAGGAAGTGTAGTGTTTATGCCAATAAGTAAAGAGGAGGGGCAGCAGCACAAATTATTAGATAAGGATCTGTAACAAAAAGCTGTTATTCTATCATTTATAATAAACCGCTCCTGGGAGTAAATCAATTCAGAAGAAATATGTGTTACTGACTGTAGGATGTCTGCGTTGTTTCACACGCGAAGCAACTTCCTGTTTCTGTGCACATTATGATTCATATCCACAACCTTAGCTGTAGTTTTGCTTTGACATACTCTGAGTCCTGCTGCAGCTCTTTATAGGCCACCATCACAATATAAATGAGCTCCCTGTATAGTACAGTCAGACTAAAACAACAGGCAGCATCACTTACACATTATATCTCACTGACTTGCTCTTTGGTTCTAATGGTGAGCTTTTTAAAAACAACCAACTTTCATGTTTTAGAATCATCAAAGTTTTGTAGGCTCTCGGCTCAGACACACGTGTTTTATTGAAACGTGACTGAGCAAAAATATGCAGCAGATTAGGCTCGTCCAAAGAAATTCCCAGTCTTCAATGAATAACTAAACTGTTTTCTTTCCATTCTTCTGAATCTTTTGATGGAAATTTCTCGACAAGCAATTCATGCACCTCTGTGTGGAATCAGAAATATTTTAGCTTAATGTGACAAAAGTTTCACCTTGCAAAGAGCTTATGACTCGAGGTATTGGCTGTTTTTTTCTGCAATTAATTTTTTAGCACAGTGTCAGGCTTACAAAGACCTGTGCACCTTGCCCCTGCTATTGCTAATAAACTCATCGGGTGCTTTTTTCAACCTCTTTTTAACATAAATCAGCCAGTTACATTAGGCATGTAAACATGACTAAGATGTTCCACTCAAGTTCAAACAGAGCATCAATATGTGGAAGAAAGGTGATGTAAGTGATGCTGAATGTGGCTGTTGGTGTGAGTGTTTTGGAAACTGCTGAGCCATCTCTGGGGTTTACAGAGAACTGACCGAAAAGGGGCAGCATGGCGGCGGCCAAGGTGCTAACCACCGTGGTTTGAATGTACTGATTCAACTCATCCTGTGTGGAGTTTGCATATTCTCCCCATGCACTCATCTTAACCATGATATGCAGAAGAGCAACTCTGAACACACAACATATTGAA